ATCAATTTTCATTTCATTAATACACTCAGATAGTATTTAGTGCCAATGGCATGAATAGCACGCCCGATCTCCCCATAGTTCATTGTGTCTTACAACCGATTTCTTGGTATCTCTATTCAGTTTTTGAGTTTGGAATTTTTTTTCAATGGTTGCCTTACTGTGGTTGTGTAGAAATAGAACAAAGATTTGTAATTTATAAGATTTTTTTTTTTACATGCCTGTATATTGAATTCTCAAAATCATCATCTATCTGACTGCAAAGGCAAAATCAGTCGTGAACGGCTACTAGTATCTCCTTTTTTAAAAAATTGACCAATCCTTATCAACCCTCGGACAACACACTTGTTTAGTGTCACCTATGTAAACAACTAATTATCCACTCGTCCCAGACGGTGTCTTCCACCTATTCTCACTTTTTAAAAATCATATTTTCACCTATTCCCACGTGCAAATAACAATAGATTATTGATAGTTCAATTGTTTTTATAGCAATTAGATTAATTATACACCCCACCTTAGATTTACCAGTATTTTATACATTCATAGTCAGAAAATTAATCAGTTCCGAGAGATTTGGAGTAAATCTGCTTAGTTTCTAGTATATAGAGAGAAAAAACGGGACCGGGGTTTTACTTCGAGAGGTCGGAGTTCGAGTCATTGAGAGTCACCTGTAGTGGGTATCACAAAGTGTGAGAAATAAGGCATGTTCTAATTAGTATCTATCACATAACAATAAAGTATGTACGTAGTATCCCAACGTGTGAGAAATGAGGCACAATGCGATTTAGTTGATCTAAAAAAAAAACAAAAACAAAAAAACTTAAATAAGGCAAACTAAAAACAAGTGTTTTCCCTACGAATAAGAACTGAAGAAATCAAGGAAGTGTCATTAGAGAAGGAAGAAGTGAGAATATTTTCACAAAAGGAAGTGGGACGAGTTACATCGCACTAATATAAAAAGGGAATATCAAGGACATCTCCCTAAGGGGAAATAATGCCAAATATTTACATCAACTGAGCATTTCCTAATTTATTTCTTAGGGAAAACTGGTCGTTGTTGATACTAGAGTTCAATGTAAAAGACTTTATAAAGTATGGATGAAAATTATTAACATTTCAAAGTTATATTTCAACACCGTGTTAAACCATTAATTCCTCTCCTTTGTGTTGTAGGTAGGAATGCTGTTCATTCTTTCGTTGTTTCCTCATCGAATCTACTTATCCCCATGTAGTCAACCCTCCACCCCCTTCCTCTCAGCTGCACCTCTCTGATTCGGATTCAGCTTTTCTTAAGCCCATGTCTTCACTTTTCATTTCGGGATTTTCTTTTCTCTCTGGGTCTCGTCCCGACAATTATTGCCAGCTCTCAAAGATTGTGTCAACTTGAAGAGGAGTCAATATTTTTTTTATCATAATTCTACTTGTCAGGAATTTGAAGCCCGGCCCTCCCCCCCCCCCCCCAAATACAATGACCATTTTCTTTCTTCGTACCCTGCATGTTCTCTGTAAGGTTGAATGTACTGTAAAATATCTATAAACAAGCATTCTGAGAGTTTTGCATTAGCAATACTAGTCCCCTACCGACAAGTGTAATCTGGTTCCCGTTAAAAATTGAAAATGCTATAATTGCGTCAAAATTAAATCAATGAAGCGAAACGAAATGCAAACTTGATCTATAACTCATTAAGGTTGAGTCACATACCAAAATCAGCTCAATATTTACAAGCGTTTAGAAAAAAAGTGCGGAAAACCAAGTGGGACAGACTGACAGATAGACAGAGGGACAGACTGACAGACAGACGGACGGACGGACGGACAGACTCAGAGGAAACCTATAGTCCCCTCCGGTTTCACCGGTAGGGGACTAATAAAGACAAAATGCCGTGAATCTCAAGTTGTTCATTTTACTGTATACTTATGTGCATAACGACTGTGTTACTTCAACAATTCACATAATCTTTTCCCGCTGAAATAAAGGACATCATATTGCATCGACCTTCAGCTTCAGAAAAAATTTACACGTCTTTATACATGTATATATATTTGAACTATTTCAATCATTGTGCGATTTTTTTTAAAATATCTTGACATCATGTACATGATAACTAGCAACAACTATATTTTTTCTCTGTTCCTTTCCCACGCAATAGAGACTAAACATAAAAGTGATAGAAACATGTTGATTCCTTGATGATTCTGCATATATCAAATGATATACATGTATATACAATTTTATTACATTTTCAACAGTGAAATACTATAATTTATTCATTGAATAAAACTGATATTCTCTCACAGTGTGAAAGGATACCAAAATGATATTCTGTCACAGTGTGAAAGGATATCAAAGTAAGTAAAATATAATTTCTGGCCTTTAATATGATTGAAATACATGTAGTAACTAAACCATGTTGACAGAGACTAAAACTGCAAATTTCTTCCCAAATATGTTGCTAATTCCATGTTGCAATGTTTTCAATCGCACAACTGCTAAGCTATGACATCTCAACTGCTCAACTATGACGTCACGTACAGCCTATGACACTGTACATGTATTAGAAAAGACAGAGGCAAAGGGAAAATCAAAGAAAATGTAATAAACAGAAAATTCAATGTTTTGTATTTGGACATGGAATTTATTTCACGAGTGGGACAGGATCATGTTTTGATATTTTCACGAATGCGAAACAATTATACAATTATACATGTACCAACATTATTATACAATTATACATGTACCAACAGCAATATAATAATTATACAATTATACATGTACCAACAGCGAGCGGCGCTTCGAGCTCTGCGAGCTCTAACGACAAGGCCTGGGCGAAGAGAAAACTCGGACTGTGCACATTTCATCCCAATCGCATCATCTCGGGTCTTTCCGTAAGAGGTCGGAAAAACAACCTCGAATGTCACTCGGCACACCTCGGCAGATTCGTACCTCGATGAAGGTGACGGAATCAGCCGAGGTTTGCCGAATGCATCGAATGTATTAACATCACCGGATGTTAAAATTTTATACAACTTCCAATTTATCAATGTGTACACCAGGTCACGTGATCCTCACATTAGTGTTAGCTTGATGACGCGACCTCTAAATATAGAATGCCAATTTATTTAAATATAGGATAGACGGAGGTAAAAGTCCCTTCTACAGTATATTTTAGGTAATATCTTTACATTCAATAAAGTTAAACTCTATACTCCCCAGATAAGAGGTCTTTCCACATTTATTTCAAAGTTTGTGAAAAGGGGGGTTGTCATGGCGTCTACGTAATGCATTCAAGGTTGTTTTTCCGCCAGTCGGAAAGGCCCGAGAAGTTGCGATTGTACGTAAGCCTATTAGGATCAAACTACGGTAAAAAAAATATTTAAAAGGCGTTATATAACGCCTTTTCAAAAGGGTTATAACGCGAAAAAAGGCGTAATAACGCAAATAAAGGCGTAATTACGCCTGTCAAAAAGGCGTTATAACGCGAAAAAAGGCGCTATTACGCCTATCCAAAAGGCGTTATTACGCCTTTTAAAAAGGCGTTATTACGCCTTTTAAAAAGGCCTTATTACGCCTATCCAAAAGGCGTTATTACGCCTATCCAAAAGGCGTTTTACGCCTTTCTAAAAGGCATTAATACGCCATTCAAAAAGGCGTAATTATGCCTTTTGAAGGGCCATTATTATGTCTTTGACAGGCCCATGCTTTTGAAGTGGGGGGGGGGGGGCTCCCATAAAATTGACAAGCAATCCAAAAAAAACAAAACAAAACAAAACAAAAAAAAACAAGAAGCACCCCCCCCCCCCAAAATAAACTGCCTAAACTTGAGGGGAAACTTTTTCTAACTGTTCGGTAAACCTTTTTTTTTTTTAATGCAATGACTTGCCTGAGTTTAACCATACTGCAACAAAATGTTAAGGGACCAAGCGATCAATAAATGATTTTTTATATTTAAAATATAGCAAGACTATTCTCCCAAAAAGTGGGGTGGGGGAGCCCCCCCCCCCCTCGTATTCTTACTACCGGCCTGTTTGAAAAGAAGTTATATCCAAAAAGGGAAAGGCGTTATTCTAAAATAGTAAATTTATGAAAGATTGAACCAAAACCATCTTTATTTATGCAATATTTAGATTATAGTTATAATATTATAAATTATAGTATTCTCTATATTCCTGCACATCTCGCAGACAGTTGTTTGCATTTTGCATGCATATTAAGAGAAGTCAACACTCTACTTTTGAAAATCCAGGATATAGGCAAAACCAGCTTTGGGCTTTGCTAGCCACGTATTAAAAATTCATGTCAAATTTGAAATATTTTTCTCTCCTCTTGGAACAAAAAAAACAGGCAAACTATTTGCATAGGTATAATGAGCAATTAGCCTTCAACCAAATTTCTGAAATCCATGCACCTTGGTAGAGGCGTCTGGCATCAGAGAAGGACTAAGCTGGTTTAACACTGAAAATATTTTACACGTAAGTAATAACGCCTTTTGGAAAGGCGTAATAACGCCTTTTGGAAAGGCGTAATAACGCCTTTTTAAAAGGCGTAATAATGCCTTTTGGAAAGGCGTAATAACGCCTTTTTGAAAGGCGTAATAACGCCCTTTTGAAAGGCGTAATAACGCCTTTTTTCGTGTTATAACGCCTTTTGAAAAGGCGTAATTACGCCTTTATTTGCGTTATTACGCCTTTTTTCGCATTATAACGCCTTTTGGAAAGGCGTTATAACGCCTTTTAAATTTTTTTTTTTTACCGTAGTTTGATCCTAATAGGCTTTCGTACGATTGATTTCATCCAAACGAATTTTTTTCCGCAGTAATCTCTGGACCCACAATATTGCAACGCTTATTGCATTTCGCCACAAATTACGTTCTCGCGGTTACAACAACTAAAAATTCACAAAAAATAAAATCAATTTGATTTAATGGATATTGCATACGAATGGTAGATAAAACGTTTTTGATAAAATTTTATGTTACATGTACATATTTGATTTATGTATAAATATTTACATTCATTATAACTTATAACATTGCACACCTGTTTTGCCAATAATTAAATATATGTCCACATTTTTAATTACCATCATCAATTCTACTTTTTAAACATGCTTGTCGTGTGCCCATTACACAGTACATGTATAAACTTATTTCACTTTTTTTTCAAAAATACAGCTTCAACTTTAGATTTTAAGAAACCCCTTCCCACTCCACCACAAGCAAAACAAAACAAAGAACATAAATTTAGGATTTCTCTCAGATCTCAGTTTTTTTCTCTCTAAATATTCTGAACAAAATTTCAGCCATTTATAAAAAATGATCAAGACTTATTTACATGATGAGAGGTACAAAGTTCTGAGATGTTAAATGCAACAATTCATCCCTCCTTATTTCTCATTTCCCAAATCTTAAAGAAAAAGTCATTTATCCAAGCTGTAATAGTTTCTTCTGTCGCTGACCGCCATTTAAATGTCATTATTGAAATGTCATTCTCTCGCCATTCCCATAAGACGATCACCCCGAAGTTCCTGGGCTTCTTGGATTATTGCACAAAACGGACAGAAAAGCACAGTGAGAAAGTCGCCTGCCATCGATCCCAAAATCCCTTTTTCCTGTCGCACTCGGCCTCGTATACTTGTTCCCGCCACAAGATGAAGGAGGGGGACGAAATAAGCTAAACCTGCAAAACATATTTTGTTACAGTGTAGTTCACCTCGTATATAGACGTCGGGGCACTGGCAGACAGACGCACGCCAGGTCTGTTTTCTATATTCTTATATTTTAAGGGAAAAAAAATAAATCAAAACATTAAATGTCTAAACTTCTAAGAAGAAAGAGTTCATGATTTGTTTACGCGTGGGGAAACTATGCTGAGCATACATGTACACAACTATGGCCTCTTACTTAATAGTATAGTATTGGCTATTTACATCTGTGCATTTTAAGCAGAATCCGGGGGGGGGGGGGGTTCTGAGTATAGTCTTTTGCTGTAGTTTTAATGTGTAAATTTTCATTGAGATGCTGGTTGCCTCCCCCATTTTTTGTTGCTGAATAATAACACTGGCAAATTGTAGCATTTGAAAAAAAAATGTTCCAAAAAGTTAAAGACCCCCTCCCCTTCCGAAATAGAATTTTCGAGTTTGCGCAGATAACTTTTTCTTGTCAGATTTTTTTCGGGGAGGTTGATCCACCCCCCTACTCTTAAAACTGTCCACCCCCTACTCTTAAAACTGTAGAGGACACTCACCCCACAGCCTTTATATATTTTGAAATCTTTCTCGTAGAGGAAATATGGTAATTCTGAATAAATTTTACGGGTTCGTTTTGAATAAATTTAATAATACGTTTGCAGAGCATGGGCGTTTTCTTGGGGATTGTCAAATTAATTCTTCTGTACTTCGTTGTGACATGAAATAGATGTACACTCCCCCCCCCCCCCCCGGGCACGTAGACTTATTTAATCATATACTTGGCTCGGGTCTTTACATTACTTTACATTAGATTTGCTTCTTCAGAACAAATATTTAGACTTACTAAATAACTCGACTGTTTGTAGCTTACATAATCTTCCAATGAAACCTTCGTGCATCGAGTTTTCTGGCCTCCTCCTAACACTTAACAGTGCTTAGGACAAAGATACATGCCATGATACGGTATATTTCATCTTATCTTAATGTGATCTGATCAATTATAAACTTCTCAATACGCGAATCAAAAGGTTATTTAAAAATTAAACGTTTCTACTTTCAGTTTCGATGCCAACATGATTAGTACATCGATATTTGCCATGTCATAAGATATAATCACAAATAATTTAATATTTACAGTGTAGATTGATACACATTTACATTAAAAAGCTATTATTTTCTGATAAACATCGTTTTAATTTAACTATACATGCATACAGTATATAGATTTTCAAAATAGGCTGATACCGGACTGACTTACCACAGCAGCAACAGCTCTCTCCCACGGCCTCAGCATTCTTTCCAAACGTGTAACATGGGATAATATAAGTAATAATACATATTCCAAAATCATTAAAACACCCAAATAGGCTGTTACTCCATTCGCCAGACATATTGCACAAAAAGTTTAAACCGGGATTTTTCGCTTCAATCACTTCCTCTGATGTACCTAAAAAGTCACGCGCGACTCTGTCACGAGATTGAGTGTACTTGTGCAATATGTACGATTTAAAGTTTATCTATTCTGACCGAGATAGCCTATACTATGCTGAATAAACCTCTTTCCTTTGCAACGAAACAGTATTTACATGAAACTTAATTGATCTATTGTCACATATGGTCAACGATTATGTGGCGGACTATTGGGGGCGTTATAAATTCAAGGGTAATGAAACAAGAACTTGAAAAAAGTTTATAAAGAAATTTCATTGTTGGGTCCTTGTGACACTGTAGAATTCGGGATTTTCTTTTTTCATATAATTAATTTATTACTCATTAATCTAAGTAGAGATTAAAACTTAGAGCTCTTTAACAATTACTGAGCCGGTTTATAAGAAATTCCTTCCATCATACACCACCCCTTTTTTCTTTGCTTGTCTTGCTACTACAATGTATTTTAAACGACTCATCAAACTGAATGTGTGTCATATGATTTGCTGTGACCTTGATAAAATACCAAGAATAATGGAAAATTCAAAAAGATATCTATTGGGAGTCACAACTGGAAAAAGAAACGTCTTGCAGTGTATAATTGCCTGTATTTTTATAAAACAAGAGCAATAAGGACAGGGAGTATATTGATTTAACGCTGTGTGAAACATTAAGACTCGTACTTTATGAATTATCATTTATTTGGGGAAAAAAACACAAAAAAAAAACAAAAACAAAAAACAAAAAAAACTGTTGAACAAGTGATTGAATCAAACAACGCTGTTACATCTCCCTCGGGTATTCGTGTGTAGATTTCGTTGATATTAATTATAGAATTAAACATCATATTATAATGTATACATAGTTTCTACAGCAGAATTTTCTGATTTATAAAGAACTTTTTGTTGAAATCGTGATGATGTTGATCAACCCGGAAATGTAGAACTTCCAAAGTTCTTTCCGTTTATAGGATTGATGATAAAATATAAGATTCAGGCATAGGGACACTTCAGGTCAATGGCATTCCAAAATCCAAATCAGGGCTCTCTCAAATAACATGATTATTTAATAACAATATAAATAGAACATATAACGATTTACAAATATTGGCTTGCAGTATAACTTATTATGTAATTATAATATACATTATTGCTCTTTGCATTTTTTTAAAAATGTACTTCATTGCTTTGTGCCTATGTCATAAAATGAAAATATTCCCAAACATGTAAAATGCTTAAACAATATACAATGCAGGAGCGAATTCAGAATTCCTGGAAATGGGGGGGGGGGTTAAAAATATTGCTCGGCAAAAAGAATTAATATCTATTTTTACAAACCTCAGCACATGGATTTGATAGGAAATGCTATTTTTATAGGGTTCACAGTATTTCAATTGCATTAAATGTTACATGGCTGTGGGAATGGGGGGGGGGGCGAGGGACACCCCCAATAATTTTGCCGATATATCGTATATTATGGAATACAAAGCTTATTTATGGATGTGTCCTCCACAATAAATACGCCTGATTACCTTTTTTGGCTTGTCAAGGAAATTTTGCTTGGTAGTGCCCACCCAAACTGAAAATCTTTGGTTGTCTAGTTAATCCCCCCCCCCCCCCCACACACACACACACACACAACTGAAATTTGCTTCCCACGGGCCTGTTGTATTATCGATAGAAAAATTGGCGTGGGGTTTTCGATTTTTATTTCTATCATTTTGAGTTAGTTAAAATAGCTCTATTATCATAATGATTATGATGATATTATTTAAGAATAAATAAATGCGCACTATCTGGTTCTTCATTTTATATTTACCGGAAGCGAGAGAATGATACAAACAATGTCAATGGTAAAATATTTATCATTTTCTCACAATACATCTCCGCAAATATGTTGCATGATTTACACATTTTCATGCAGCGATAAAAAGATTTGCATATCCTAATGCATGTTGACGTGAATCTGTGGAAACACGAGAATAGTACTACTTTGTACCATAGGACTGGCGGTAAATTTAGATTTTGCTTTCATGTTGCTGTGGTGTATTTGCCAGAAGAATCACAGTTTTTTTTAAGTCACGCCCACCTTTTGGCATCAAGCCATACTGTGTCAAGACCTTGACTAATGAATGAATGATGTCAATTTCAAGACCAAGGCAATGGCTGATGAATGAATTAAGTCAACATTTTAAATTTCAAAAATACTAACATTATTTAGCTTGTCGGTGTCCGCTTCATAAATGGTTCTGTATATTTTCTCCGCGTATCCTTAATCAGTAAATGATACGTCCTATCTCGAATTCTCGTCATTTTCTTTCCCGTCTCCAAATACATATAGCAATTTCACATCAGAAGTCCCCGCATTTTTTTTACTTCCAATACCATTTCAAACTTTCATTAAATTGTCACAAATCATTTCATTTTCTTCTGTACGCCGATTGCCATAAAGAAAAAGTTCAATGCCGATGTTTCCCATATCAATCCCCCCTTTTTTCAAAAAAAAAAAAAAAAAAACCATCTAGAAAGACAACTTTTCTTTCAGAGTTGACGGCTTGAACATAAAAGCCTACAATCGCTACCCCTATACCTGTACCTGACAAAAATCATGTTTTCTGCGTCTTCATCATTTCAAAGGTACAATATGTTCACACGTACCAATTCCAATTTTTTTATCAACAACTTGTAGTAGCAGTGTCGCAGTAAAGTATGATCCTTGCAGATGGAGACAGCTATTTATACAGACTCCGGACCGTGTCTTGACACCTCGTAGTAGGCGGTGCTATTTATCAACTCGCTTTTCTCTCATTGGTCCTCTGGTACAAATAACTTACACAATAGATATTAATTGGTTAGCTGTAAATACACTCACAGTTTTTATTCACTCGGGGCTCCGCCCCTCGTGAATGAAAAACTGTGAGTGTATTTACAGCTAACCAATTAATATCTATAGTGTAACTATAACGTACACTACCTACCTTCTCAGGCTTCTGCTCCACTTTCGTTTAGAGGTTTTATAATAGGTTTATCAGGTCCAGTACAATCAGTACATTTAGCTACGTAGCTAAAATTACCTACCTCAGGTAGCTTTATTTAGCTATTTCAAGGCAACTTTTCACAATTTTGCTTTTTATTTTAAAAAGACAAAAAATCGCAGGTAAATGTATACTAAAATTTATGTGGTAGTGTAAGATACACGGCATCCTACTAGCGTGGGCTAGTGGGTTAACCCTTTAGCTCAATCAGTAGAGCACTGGACTGGCATGCCAGAGGCCCCAGGTTCAGTGCCCAGCAGAGGCACATAAATGTCTCTGTTACATTTATTTTAGGTATTATTTAAAAAGCAATCCAAAGCAGAGATAGTTTTAACTTTGCTGTGTTTGAACACTTTTAGGAAAAGATGTATTTCCATTGTTTGAGTAACTGTACACCACCTTGTGTGCGATGAGGCATGGATAAGTATGATTACTTCATATTGTGATGAAGTTAACCAAACCTGGTTTTCTTTGTTATTTCATTCAAAAAGTAACTGTTTGGTCACAAATTAACTGTTGTATACAGCCCCAAAATTTTAGAACTTTGATTGCAATTGCGCAGAAAAAGACACATCTCCAAGAGTGATTTTTTCATGAATTGTTTTCAGATGAGATCAAAGTTGAAAATTATCACTGCTTCAAAGTTCAATTTTCTGCACTTTCTGAGAAAATGTTAATTTAAGAAATAAGTTTGATTTAGTAGCTAAATAAGCTACTTCAGGTAGGTAAATAAAGCTATGTAGGTAATTCAAGCTACATAGCTAAATCTAGTGATTGTACCAGACCTGTTTATGCGTGTAGTACAATGCATTGAATTTTCATTGAGTTGCTGAACTCACTTCCTCATCATCAATCAGTCTTTAGATAATTTTATGGATGAAAATTGAAATCTGTGAATTTAAGCTTTTTTGGTAAGCAGTAAATCTAGTACTGCCAATTCCCGACTCTCTCAGAATGGTGTTTTTCCATGATATTCTCCGCATCATTTTTGGTTCATATATTCCAGACACATAAACTATGTTGCAAGTAATTCATATAAACATAAACATATTTTTAAAATATGGTACAAATGGTGGCATTTATGAACTAGGGATTAGGTAATCGTAACCAGCTGTAATTGATTACAGTTTGATGTGTAATCATGAGTAATTAATAATCAGGGTTCTTCACAAGGTGTTTTACCATGGCGGCCCACCATTGCTAAATTTATGTGCGCCATGGTTGAGCAAGCTGCGCCATGGTCAAAATTGGCAGCTGCCATGATTAAATTTTTACTGCATTTCAGTATTGACACCTACTTTTTTATGACTTGAGTAGTTAATTGTGTTTATACTATGACTGGCATGCACCTCTCGTGAGAGAAAGTGGACTGTGCTAAACAAGACGGTCGTTGATCAGAGATTATTTTGAACATTTGGTGAAAGTTCAGTGCTGGAAGTAACTGATGTGTACTCAAATTTTAGAGACATGAAAGAGGACGAAGTAGAAGAACATAAAATAAGTGTAGTTACCAACATTTCATGAGAGGCACAAATAAATGTAGATTTTAGAGTCAGAAATTCAAAGTTTTGACATCAATCATTCATCAGTCATATAAATTACATCATTCAAAGGATTTTTGAAAAATGTCATCAGAAACAAAATACATGTGAAGTATCCATAAATTTTCCAAAACGATGCATATCTGGTGTATAAAATGTAATAAACATTTTTCTGATGAAGCAAAAAGCTTAAGTGATGCCAAAAATATTAATAAGCCCTCAATTTGTAAAAAAGCTTCACATCATGATTCCATGCTGCTTTGCTGCAAGACAGACCCCTTACTTGCCAGCAACTTCTATCAAGCAAGATTATGCAAGTCAGGCCCATGAGGCCAAGACTGTTACCGAATGAAAACAAAAGGATACAATCCCCATCAAGTATTGCTTTTTAATGACATTTATGTTAGTAAATAAGTATTCTGTAGATGTCACATTCATAGTACATGCCTTGAACTTTCATACAGTAATCTTTGTACTAGATCTGTAGAACATGAGATGTGCTGTGGAAAAATTTTGAAATAATGCATGAAAATATGAAGTGTATGTTAAAATAAAATAAATTCAGTTCGCTAACTACTTCAACCATGTATATGATATGTATTATTTCCTTATGCTTGTTTGTAGGATGTAGATGGTCGTATGGGCATGGTTGAGTGCATTCTCTCAGAGAACAAGGAGAAATGGCTGGAATCTATGATGTAAGGTTTAGTGAGCCAGCTAATGCTCAAGAGATCCCTCTTAATGAAAATATTCAAATATATTGTATTGAGTTAATTAAGATTTACAGGAAACAATTTTTATGTTTTAAAGT